GAGTAGAGCGGGGGCTTCTATACACTCTCGAGTAATTTGTCACAGTGTTTCATGAGGAAAACTGCACAAAAAAATCTCCATCGGACCGATTTTTTCATTAGATTTTGGAAAATAAAAACGATGGGAATGGGCCGATCTTCTGTACCGCATGCAAATTTTTCTTGCATTCATGTTAGATTTTCTCATAAATCCCGAGACGTTGAACTAGAAAATTTTTCTTAAGAATTCCTCTGCGTATTTTGTTTTCCGCTCGAGGAACTCCAATTTTTCAATCTAAACGACAATGAAACTAGGAAAAATTGAGGCAACTAGTTTCCGGATTTCAATTCCCGGAACAAGTTTTAAAATTCATATCGAATCGACATGAAATTCGTAAAATTGACAATTGTGATGCATTTGAGGGTAAAACTTGAACTAGAAAAAAAGTGTTCAGCAGTGCCCCGAAAGTAGCGAGTAAAAAATGAAATAATAAAATGATTCTGTCGAGTTGGAATTGGATTTACATAATTTAGTTTGTAATTACCTCGGGAAGCGAGTTGATGTTGACGAGATCCCTGGCCTAACCGGATCACCATTTAACACCCTCTCTCGTTTCACATCTTTCCTGCTTAACCCTCGAGTAGTCCATGAGTGACTAGTCGGACTATAACATACTGCGATTTTAGGGGACCAGAGGAAATTCGCGTTTTCCGAGAGAGAGAGATGGCCGACTAGACTCACAGGAGATTCCCCGAGGAACGGGATTGTGCAATTATCGAACTCGCGGGGAAAAAAATTATCATAAAAATTACGTGAAAATTACGTGCGTTAAGAGGCGTTCGATGGAAATTGCATCTCGACTCAGTAAAGTTTATGGAATTGAAGAGAAATATTTCTATTTTGCCGCATAACTTTTCTTGAATTTACGTAAAAATTATGACCATCAATTTCATCTCTCGAATGGACCTGTTGTCACGTAATCTGTTACTTTTTTTCGCCGCAGAAAATTAATTACGACTCATCCCCCGGGGAAACTCTTGTCAATCAAAAAATACAGTAGACTATTTTCTTAAATTTGGAATATTGGTGTCAGAATTGAGGTTATTTGTTATTGGTAATTGGTTAATCATTGTTACCGTTTGAAAATCGGATGAAGATAAAATTCACGATCGAATTGATACTAATACTATATAAAAAATAAAAAATTACATACCATGAAGAATCTACGATCCGCAATTCAATTATTTTGGATAGAACAATGAAATGATAACTAAATGAAACAAATTAGGCACCATATTCTCAAAGAAAAAAATACCTCTAGCATTATAAACAATTATCCTCAATTCTCCAAATAATCCCCCGCCTCCCAGAGCCGTCTACAAGAACAAACAAGAGTCCAACGCCTCGAATCCGGAAATAAACAACAAATCACCAGTTAAAACGCGTATTACCTAAAACCGCCACAAACACAATTAATAAATAAGCGACACAGAGCACCGCAGAGAAATATCTAGAGTTAGTGCAAGAAGAATTTCCAAAACGGTGGAGATAATGAATAAAAGACAGCAGAGAAAAAAAAAATCAATTCGTTAAAATAACTAAAATAACTACAAATAAAATATATAAATGAATGTAGACGCCGTAAGTTATAATAAAGACAAAACAAAAATACTGTAATCTGTTCCGTATAAATATATAAATACTGGAGATCGAGGGAATTTGAAAGACGAAACGAATAAGTGAAATGGATAATTGGAACAAGAATATTTATGTATTTATATTGGCGTATAAATATATGCATCGTACGGGTGAGATAGCAAGGTGCAAACGGGATTAATATGCATATTATATATGCACATAATCCCGTACCATATTTAAGTGTATCGTTAAACGACGAAATAACAAAAAATCTGTGGAAAATTGAAAAAAAAAAAACAATTATTCCCATCGTACCTCGCACCCTCGGTATTACAATGAAAAATCAATTAATTAACTTTTCTCAATTGCATACGACAGAATACCATTTTGAGGTATCAATTATGAATGATAACAGTTGAAAATTAATTAATTGTTTCACCATGCTATTGAAACAATCAAAAACCTCGATCTATTAGTAGCGCTGGTACGATGCGGCGTAACAATGTTTTGGTTTTGTTTTATTCTGTTGGAGTGAATATAGTAAATTGATGAACATAGTAGACGAGTTTTTAAAAGAAAATAATTGAAAAAAAAAACCGATCGACGTCGTCACGCGTTTTCACAACATCGTGACGAAGAGAACTGTGGTAATTAGATATTATGATGATCTCGAATGATCGAGCCAGCAATTAGGTATTAAGTGAATGAAAAAATAAATAAATAAAGATAAACAATGTACTTGGCTAGCCTGCCAAAGATGCCCCTCCCCCCTACCCCCCAAAACTCCCCAGTAGATTATAGAGAAAACAATTATACAGCAAATGAGACCGGGCAACGCTAAGATTATTCCAAGTATCGTCGCGTCCGAATTTTTGTAGAGATTGTTTGGTTCCTCTTTTTTAAAGCATTCTCTTTCGTTTTGTTATGAAAAAATAAATAAATAAAAAAAACAAGAGATCCGCGCACGGGGGTTCCAGGAGCCCCGGCGTGGTACGGCATATCACTGAAGACATAAGCCAAAGAGATAAAAATTAAAAAAAAAAAAAAAATGAGTTGGGTGCCTTTATCAGCGAGATTAACTCTCCCTGTCAGATAAACAATTTTGTAGGCACTCGAGGCTTAAATGATTAAAAAAAAATGAATGCAATGAAGCATTTGGTCGATTGAAGCTGAGGCAAGGGAGAAATTTAATAAAAAATATTTAAATAAATTGACCCGCGGGGTTCCATGGTAGCCTCAGTACGTATATATCTAGGCATTAAGTAAATAAATATGAAAGATCAAAAGCATCGCGCGAGGGATAGATCGAGATAAATCAAACAATGCATCTAATTTGATACATAATCGCCACATTGCATACGTGAAGGCACATGCCCAGCCACGCCACGCATATTACGCTCATGAAGTAAGAAAAAAAATTATATATATTATATATAAAGAGGGAAAATATAAATATAGGTGAATACGACGTACACAAGCAATACCCGCATCGCAATAGGCATAAGAATGCGGGGAACGTGCGTGAACAAAATGAAGCGGCAAATAAAGGCATGAAAAAAAGACAAAACATGTATGATATTATATATACATAATATAGAATATAAAAATATTATAAATAATGATGGATATAAATAAAGAAAACATATAATATACAAAATTAAAGAAAAATATAAATATGGAGGAAGTATGTAAACGAGATATACAGGATAAAAAAAAAACACATGTAGGGTTAAGAATATAAGATATTATAATGTATGGTTGGTTTATAATGTAAAATATATTATAGAAAATGTATTCATTCATTCTTTACTCAATCCTTTTTCCAATCTACTCGAATTTTTCCCAATTTTACTTTTACTGGCTTCACTGCATTTCTTCGAAGACGGATATTAAATGTTTCTTTATCGTATATAAAAGTTGGGAAAATTGAGAGAAGTTATTTTTTAATACAGAAGATCTTCTCGTAATTGTAGGAACTCTTTTTCTAATATCGAGATTTTTTTTCTATGGTCGAAGAACTTTTTCTTTTTTTGAGGCTGAAAATCACGACCTAATCGTTTTTACGGTAGAAATTGTCTCAGTTCCGATTTGTTGGAGAAATTACTCGAGTTTCAAGTTGTTTCAGAAAAGAAGTATCCTCGAATTGGGTTTATATTCCGGTATAATAAAAATTTTTCAGAAGTACGCAGAGAACACATTTTTCACTCCGAGGACAAATCCCTTAATTCGAAGAACTTTCGATCTTAACATTTTTTTCTCATGAAATAAGTGAATGAGCTTCATAAAAATGTCCTTACCACTTCTGAAATAGATCTTCGAAGTAGAAAATAGTGATCGCCTGTTATCCGTCGAATTTTCCCGAAAACATCAATTTTATTCTCCCCGTACTCATGATTGAGAGAAGTCAAATGTGCGATTCACTCCATTCCAATAACTCTCATTAAACAATCTGTTATTTTTTCATTGGAGTGTAACCAGCAGTGAGAAATCATAGTGCACGAGTACTGAGAAAGGCGGACAAAAAAAACTGGTGAAAAAATATTTGACCATGTCAAATATCAACATTGATCGACATGGAGAAACGCAGTGGTACTATGTTTGACTTGGTTTCATAGTGCTACATATACATGAGGGGTAGGTTGGCATAATTAGGGATGATAGGAGTGCCGACGAGACCGGTTATTTTGTCGAGAACTGACGTATACCACGACATGACAGTCCAGGGGAAGTCCGTGCCCCATCATATTATGCCACGGCGCGTGTGTGCGTCATTGCGTGTTAGCTTTTACCTAGCCAACATTGTATATGGATATGTATTGCACGACACTGGAGAATACCCAGGTTGTTATATACTGTATAAAGCGTAAACTACAATTAGCTGTAATCCCTGTGACAAGGCCATCTCGCCCCTGCCGTTGCGTATATTAGTCCATCAGTCTAACGGTAATTGAGCAAGTTGTGTGTCACTTTTTTTTACCACCGTGTATATCCTCGTTCCAACCAAATTACCAAGTCACGCTGTACAAAAAGTTTATGAAAAAAGGGTAATTAATTATAATCGGGAATAATTGTTAGTTATGGCGATGGGAAATTTATGGCCGGGGAGATACGCGCTGTTGATGATATTTTAAAACAACGGATCGAGTGCTGTATTTATGGTTTGATATTTAGGGATCGATTTCCGATCGCTGAACCAGGGGGCTTTTCTACTTGCCGTAACTACTAATCATCAGACGACTGTAAAAAAAAATATAGTCATATGGAAACATGGTAATGTAGGTTCCACTCACGAGTATTCAGTATTACCGATGAAGACATTAATTGAATGCTCAGGGTAAATTACCTGAGGACGGTAACTACATATCACTACGGATTCCTAACCTCGTAAATAATCTACTTCACCATCGTCGGTTGCTTCATTTGCGGAATTTTTGCTCCGTTTTGTGGTTTTGTACAGTGGAACTTCTGAAAAATTGTGATGGATGGGAATTGACCCTGCTGATGAGCACTAGGATGTTGTTGTCAGTTGTGAATAATTTTGGTGGAGACTTTATTTTTTAAAGAGTGACAGCAATTCAGGGAGCAAATCAGTTTTGAGGTTATCCGGCTGGGATTTTTTGGATTGAATTTGTTATAATAATAAGATGATTCCGAAGAGTCTGATGATTCGATGTTCAGCGTTGAATGCTGGGGTCCACAGGTTGTGCACCAGGAGGTGTTACTCAACGGAGGTTCCATCGAAAACTGGGGAATTCGATATAGCCACCGCTGAGGAAACCCCTCGGTACGTTGAGATTATCACCGATGAGGATCGGAAGGAAATCATGAAAAAGCGACTCAAATCTCGACTTAATGAGTCCCATCGTAGAATGCTCCAGGGGGTTAGGCCCTACGATGAAGACATCGCATGGTTCCACGAAACTATTCGGTACAGTTATCGATAACATTATAATATCATATTACCACATCATACCACAAGTTAATTTGCTTGCTTAGTGGAAATTGAGAGATCAATTTTAGTGAGAAATATTGAAAAAGTAATGACAAACACTTGGATTAGGTATAAGAAGAGGATGCTGGGGAGATATGGAATGGTAGCAATGCGCGAGCAAATTGGAGCGGTCTGGCCCACGCAGGAGGAGATTGAGGATAAAATCCTGTGGGAGAAAACAGCTTATCCCAAGAGTATACAAGAGCGATGGCAGGACATTGAGAAAGAAAAGGCAGAAAAGGAGGAGAGAATTAGGCTCAGGTAAAGTTTGGATCCACAGGTATCGCACTACAATGGAAGAGTCGATAATGCCTCAAATTAACAACTTTTATTCGACTTCTAACTAGCAATCTCGTCAATTTACAGGGAAGAGGAAATTACCGAAAAAATAGCAATGGTCGGCAAATGGGAAAAAGACCTTAAAGCAAGACTCGCCAAAAAAGAGGCAGCCATACTAGACGCTAAAGAGCGCAAAGCACGTCTGATCGAAGAAGTGAGGAGGCAATTTGGTTTTGAAATAGATCCACGTGACGAGAGATTCAAACAACTGCTGGAGCAGAAGGAAAAGGAGGATAAGAAACGCAAGAAAGAGGCCAGGAAAAAGGAGAGAGCTACCAAATTCCTTAGTGCCATCCTGGAAAAAACACCAGGCATTTTCAGCGGGGGTTCATCATCAGCTGAGACCAACGAGTCGAAAAAACCGGTGGAAAAAAATCCGGATAAAGAAACGTAGATATTTCTGTACCGATGAGAGCATAAATTTGAATTTTCTAAAATAAATACAATTGTTCTTTTCATTTATTGCCAGTGACGACAAATCGTTCTTCTCTTTGTATTGAAAGCATGAAAGCATTTGGGAAATTGTAAATATTATATTTTCCTTTGACTAATACAAAAAACATGATTCCAAGTCCGTAAAGGCTATGAGATAAACGTGATAAATACGACGTAAATTGTAAGTTACGTTGACACATGCAAGCATTTTTTTTTGTTTTTTTTTAAACTTTTTTGATCAAACGCGTATCTTAATTGCAGCATTCATTCTCAATACTTTTACGTGTTTTCTTACGGTTCTAGTAGTTAAGGCACATTGATAGCCAATGCAATCAACTGTCAAGTATGTTAATCATCGATTGTTCATTTCCATCGATCTCCACGTCCTTACCAACATCACCATTGACAATCTCCACATTCTCTAGTTTTTTTTCATCGACAATTATCACACGAATTCGATTTTTATCCCGGTGTCAGGCTGACTGTATCTGTGAGGGGGATGTCAATTCGTAAAATTGAAAGCTCAACTCTTCCCCGAAGAGATGATCGGGAGTGATGATCTCGGACTCGGACATGCTGAGACCAAGGCCTCCTGGGTTAAGGTCGGTAACGAGGTAGCTCTCACCGATCAGTCCACACTCTTCAGCTACTACTTCCTTGGCCACTGGGTTCAGAAAGTCTGCAAGAACGTTCCAACAGTCACGCTCTGTTTGGAGTCACATTTTTGGGATTAATGAGATGAATTTTCATATTTTATTATTACTCGAGCTATTTGATTTAAAAACAAATAAATTATGCACAGAAAATTCAATGACGTATCGAGAAAGAACAAGCGATTTTTACAATCTCCAAAGATAATAATAGAATAATCGAAATAATTTGTGAATGACAATTCCAAAATCCTTTCTAAAAAAAAAAAAAAAAATTCAAAAATGTGGGATCATTTCAGGTGAAACGTGGCTCGAAGCATTGAGGACTCATTTATCACTAAATAAAGTCAGTAAAAATTTACCAGTTTCCTTGTCTTCGCAATTGTGTTCAGCCTGTTGAATTTCTTGATTCGTATCCTGCGCATTATTTTGCAATGCCATTGGCATTAGGTACTGCACCTCTACCTCCCTCTTAATTCCACTGAGTATCTGTTCAGCGCAGTGCTCCAACGTAACAGAACCCACGACACTCTCCTCCGGTGACTGACAGATGCTAGCAGTTGCCGCAGCTACTTCATCTATCACTACATTTTGTCTTGGAGCGAAAAAACAATCTCAATAAACATCCCAAGTCCACGGGGACAAAGAACTCGGCTAATTATCCTTCCACATACCTCACTGCGTTATTACTTCTTCGTGGATAACTGCTCTCGGCGATGTTCTTCAGTATTTGCTTTTGCGTTGGAAGAGCACTGATCTGCTGTGCGCTCAAAGCCCTTGGCCTGCCATCGCGATTGGCTATGGCCCACAAATGCCCAGCCCCGTGAGGGGCTTTCGATCCCTTTCGGAAATGGGGATTTATCGATAAATTGTGTCTCACGGAATTTTTCCAGCGATCGTCGTTGCTCTTGTAGTACGGAAAGTGCTCTCTGTTAATAAATATTGATATTAACTCACCAAGAAGTTACTCTGGGCCAAAAAATTATTCGAAATCATTCCAGAACCAAAAGTCGTGAATTACATAAATTAAACTCAGAATAAAAGAAAGGTTCTTTAAAAACTATTAAATAAACCGGAAACTAGCGGTGACAGGCACGCGTAAGCACCACCCTGTGACAAAGTTCTGCCACGAAGACCTCTTTCTCCCCCTCACACTCATCCAAATCACCCTCGCTAATCGTGCCATCTCGCTCCGAGGGAAAAACGAGCAATAAAAATAATCAAGCCCACCCCCGTGAAAGCTAATTTACTCCACCTGCCCTCAGCCCACGTCACGGCGCGTTAACTGCCGCGCAATTTTCGTACGCCTGCTCCTGGACTGTCTAGGGTCAGAAAACAGTTTTGCCGGTGGTAAACGATACGTTTAAACGCCCCAATGACCATAAACCCCATATCAAGTGGAGTACTCCCATTCGAAACAAACACACGTGACAGAAAAAAAAGTAAATACAAAGGGGTTGAAACTGATTAACCAATGAGTTTGTACTCATGTATACTGCATAACGCCAAATAGTTGCATTTCCTGGGAATAAGTTCCGCAGCGAAAAAGTGAAGTGGGATAAGTTGGATTTTTCCATTTTCTTATCGTTTGTATCAATCGGCAATAAATCCATGTAATTCGCGTTATCTTAAATTTCATGCGCTAGGAATAAGAATTTCTTTCCGCTAGTAATAAAAAATTGTCTGAGAATTGTTTAACAATGTTTCTTGGATGAATTACAAATTCTTTGAATCTTCAACTCCCCTTTACTTTTAGTCTTTGAAAAAAGTAATATTTTCTCTGAGTGTGTTAAATCGACTCGTCAGCGTATTACGTTTACGTATTCGCCCCTGAATTTTCGAGTGGTTGAGAGATTGAGATAGCGGTTGAAAATCCGAGGATCATACGAATGAAGTAGCCTCGATCGAACCTGAAAAACCATCGACGGAGCACCACGGAAGTGGAAGCACGAATAGATGAGGGTAGGACGCGGTACCAGGTAGTACCGTGCATTTGGGGCCAGTGGTACCACTCAGTGCCAATCTCAGAACCCCTCGTCCACCCCCACCCACACACATCCACGTTAAATCTACGTTTGTCTTTTACGTGTGCAGGTGCATTAAAAAAATCGAAAAATTTACAAACATGCACATTTGCCACGATGATGGATGTTTTGGTTATTAATCATGTACTTACGATATCCACTGATATATCGCTGAGACTGTCAATTCCCCTCGTTCCTGCAGGGCGTGCTCTATGAGCTCGGTGTACGTGAACGGGGGTTTCTTTGGACCACCGTAACGAGATGTCGAGAAATTTCGATTATCGGATGCATACGAGCTTGATTGGGGCTGACGATGGCCCGACGTATTGTGCTCGCTGTAATTTCCTCGAATCTCTGTGACATACGAAGCAGTCGTATCCACTCGATTGGTCCCGGCATTTCGATTTCTCGACCCTGTAAATTAATGCTTCATCATTTTTTTATTGTGGGATAAAATTGCTCTGAGATTTCACGGAATATCTTTGAAACTAAAGGGAATAGCGCAATTTTTGTAAAAACTTTTGTAGATTAAAGAATAAATTTGAAGAATTATCTCACCTAAGTAGTTATTCCGCGGCGGTGGGACAGGGGGTTTATCCTCTGGGGCTTCAATCAGGGAATCGAGTTTGAAATCCAAAAGCCACGATAGATTTCCGTTCTCCTGATCCTCAGGCTGACTGTTTCCCATTGGTGTTTCCACAGTCGACGTCTGTTCCCCGGACGTTTGCGTCAATTGTCCCGCATCCTCGACAGTCGGTTCCCAGTAAGAAAGAATAGTCCCGTAATTTCCATCGATATTCCCCACGTCAGACATCCCCTGCACTCCGGAATTTCCATTAACCGAAGTCGACAGGTCAATCAGATCGGCACCCCCGAGACTGGACACATCCCAAGTGCCGTCCACCACAAGCACTTCGAGTCTCGCCACCGGTGCACCCTCGGAATTCTGCAGAGACTCAGCACAAAATCCTGATTGATGCACCTGTGATAGGCCCAGCTCATCCTGCTCCATGGAGTGACACTTTTTCGTTTGAAACTCCTCGCAGAAGCTGTCAATATCCAGATCGTCAAAGAGCTTCCGCTTGACCCTCACCGTATTCTCACCCTCGCGATTCGCGACTCCACTGGCCCCCGACGACGGCCCGATCATTCTGTCAGGATGACGATGTTCAAACCACTCTCTCCATCAAACTCTTAAAATTCAATTTAACGAAGCCACGGGGATGATTCAAAGTTCCGCGGGGACTTTCATTATCCGTAAAAAAAGCAAAAACCCCTGGAATTTTTGTACCCGGTTTGTAACTCAGTAGGACTGCTGAGAATTCAAACTCAAAGTTAGTAATATTATCGGACAGATTATAAATTCTCAGTTTTTTAAGAGAAGCGTTCGGAGCTTCTGTGCAACTCGGTGATGGCTCGTCGTTTGTTTCGTATTTCGACTATTCTGCGCGACTTTCAGCGCGAGCCGATCGCACCCCTCCCCCGCAAGATGGCGGCCCCGTGGCTCATCATCTGACGACCCCTAGTGGCCAAGAGGCACGCGCATAATGACATTTGAATTTGGCGGCGAGTCGACCATCACATGACTACCTGAATCCGTGGCCAATGGCCTGCCGACCCCAGTGAGAGCCCCTCATCGTCGGGACTCCACTCCGCACTCTCGACTCCGCCAGTGTAGCGAGCACTCAACAACTCGGTGAATCGGGGAAAAAAATAGAGAGTAACACTCGTGTTCCGCCATCGGCCATTGTCTCTGACATGGAAGCCCAGCAAAATGGCAGAAGTTGTGCAGATGTTTTTGTTCCTATATAAATCAAAGTATCGACGAAAAGTGCCGGATCGCGATGATAAATTAGTGTACAATGTTCCGTACGCGTTGCTATGGGCTGTGATAGTTTGGGCGGCGTTGTTGAAAGGTGCCGCAACAGCATCATCCGCCCCAGAAGCTACATGCGATCTCGACAATTGTGTCAACGGTGACTGTGTCAATGGTAGCTGTCTGTGTCACGACGGCTGGCAGGGACCAGCCTGTCAATACTGCAGCGGTAAAGTCAGGTGAATTATCCCCTTCTTACTCCCCTTTTCAACATTTCACCATTGTTTTGGCGTACGTTACCATTGGACCACCCTCCCCACCCGTACACCTGTCCAGCGTGCACGTCAGGTGGTGTCCACAATCACGGTGTACTCAAAAGAAAAATTAAAAACAGAAAAAAAGTTAAAACACCCGTTGATCGTTCACCCTATTGTTGGACTCCATGAATCAACGGGCTCATTGCTTTACCTCGTGGAGTTTATCGGCTCGTAAATAAACAGAATATCATTTGTCGTGATTAATCACTGGGAGTCGAGTTCCACCGAGTTTTCTTGCTTGCACAACGTATCGATCGTTGGATTTTTACGATTATCGACGGCATAATGTAATCGGTTGGCCTGTGAACTTCGGGACAAACTTGCGAGGTCATTGCAATAGTTTTCTTGGGGGACGTGTAACGGTAGTCTATGCGGATCTCTCAAATGGCACAGGATAACGCTGGCTCTTCTGGCTCTTGATGATCACGTTATTCTTCGTTAAAACGATGGAGTTGAGACGACACTCATTTATTTAATAACCGTAGTTTCTTGGCCACTCGGTTTTCCGCCGCCTTATGGTACTGGTGGAAAACCGTACTTTCTATTTACGTCATTTCCAGTCGCCCGTTGATATAAATATTGATGAGAGGTTGCATCTCTGTTATTTATTCTTCATGAAGATTATTCATAATGGCTTAAGCCTCACTCTCAGATATATTGAACAAATATGAAATATAGACAAAAATTTATATCATGTATTGAATAATATTTGTAATAAATTAATAAACCGATTATTTAAATTTTAACCAATTTCAATTTCCTAATTCACTTTTGTCGTTTAGAAATTGTACGAAATTTATGAATTATTATTATTATTGGAAAATTTATTATAAGATATGGAAAGAAAAAAAATAATCGCATCATCGCAAATAAAAAGAAACGTGATTGCAAAGGAGTAATAGGAATTGTGGATAATCAAGTTTGTTGATTGATGTTATTTATATCGATGGCGCATCGAGAATTGGGTGTTTGGCATTGATCGATCAACTCTCGTTCTTTATCTCCAGATCTGCCATAATTGCGATGATAATCACACGAGCAGTATTCAATGCCCCTGATTATCCGAAGTAATTAATTTTCCAATTGCATCTCTTGCTCTGCAGACTGACAGCACCATCCGGTAGCATCCACGATGGTACTGGAAATTACACGACAGACGTTAAATGTTCGTGGCTGATCGAGAGCACCCCGAATTCCTCCATACGTATGCATATCGAGGAATTTGCGACAGAATGCGGGTGGGATCATTTATATGTATACGATGGGGACAGCGTGGAGGCACCATTGTTGGGTGTATTTACGGGACTTATGCACAAGGACGGATATCACATACGGCGTGTGCCCGAGGTGATTGCACGCTCCGGCAGTGTCTTCCTACATTTTTACTCGGATGTTGCTTATAACATGAGTGGATTCAACATAACGTACAAGATAAACGCATGTCCTAGCAGGTAAACAACATGATTGCACTGGCAGAAAAGAAACTCCATATCGCAGAAACATTACCATTATCATTCTTATATATTATTTAAAAAATACTGGCAGTCGTAAAATTTTGTATCCATTGAATGATGCATAAGAGGCTTTGGCGGTAGATAAAATTCAGAATTTATGCAGAAGAAAAACTCGAGACTGTTATGGCATATGAACATTGCTAGCTCTCAAGAATATCCGACTACTCTAGCAAATCTTTCCCTTTGAAATCCCTCTTTAAATTCGTAGTTGAATCCCGGTTTCCAGAAATTTAGCGGTTATATCAAAAAATTCACTGAAATGAATTTAATCCTTCATTTCAAACCGTAAACTCTCGTAAAAAGTGAACTTTTTTTCAATAAATCCTTTTCATACAATGAGTTTTCCACTCTCAAATTTTTTTACCCATTACCCATTCGCGATTACACTTCAATCGTTATGAGTAAATTCTTCCTCTCAAAAAATAATTAATTAGCATTGAAATAATGTTCGATAATTCACATTCACAATTTATTTTAATTATTGATTTGTATGGAAAACAATAAATTTTATAATTTCGAAAAGAGGCCTCCAAAGTTGTCTACAAAGTTGTTAATTTAAAATTCAAATGATCTAATTTCCGGCCAGAATTGCCCTGAAAGTGTAAATTCTCTGCTGGTCCCCACGCAATCACTGATACATTAAAGTCGGGTATAATTTGCAGATACTCCCACATAGACTGTTCTGGTCACGGTGTATGCACCGAGGGTGCATGTACCTGTGACGCGACATGGACAGGCGAGGCGTGTGACGCATCAGTGTGCCCAAACAATTGCTCCCACCACCACGACCAGGGTATTTGCAATGGAGAGAGCCACCAGTGCGACTGTGCCCCGGGGTACAAGGGCTCAGATTGCAGCCAGCGAGTAGAGCGAGGCTACTGGGAGACTATTCCCTACAAGGACTTCTCCCCAGAGGGTTCAGCAAGCCACTGCTCAATCGTCTGGCACGACTCGCTCTACATCGTCGGTGGTGAGAGCTTCCACCGTTCGAAGATGATATACGTCTATGACTTCACTGGCAACGTCTGGGAGACACCTCACATCGAGGGATTGCGTCCACTGCCCCGTTACTCCCACTCATGCGTTCTATTCGGGGATAAGATCTACATGTACGGTGGTGTTATTGAAAATTCCACAGTGACAAATGAATTATGGGCGTTCGACATATCATCCAAAGTCTGGGAGAACGTTACTGTGCGCCACCAGTGCAACAACAGAACAATGTGTGGACCCCTCAGAGTTGCCGGCCACACAGCCAACCTGGTGCACACACACGACAAAAATGTTAAAATGGTGGTAATATTCGGTCATTCTCCTCAATATGGTTACCTGAATACCGTTCAGGAGTATTATTTTGGCACAAGGGAGTGGAGAATAGTGGATTCCACTGGATTTCCCATAAAGGGTGGCTATGGGCACAGCGCTGCCCACGATCCACTGACAAATTACATATACGTATACGGTGGCTACGTATCAGAGTCTCAGAATAATCAGGCATTAACCAATCGCATGTACTCGTATCATCCCAATACGCGTGTCTGGCGTCTTCTCACATCAGCCCCCTCGGCACGTTTCTTTCACACTGGTGTCTTCGTATCTGATGGCATTATGCTGATATTCGGTGGTAATACCCACAACGATACAATCCACTCGCACGGTGCACGTTGTTATTCAGCCGATACAATAGCTTACGATGTGACATGTGACTCGTGGCATCAATTTCCGATGCCACGTGAGATGTCCGATTTGCCAAGGTATGGTCACAGCGCAACAATATTCGGACAGTCAATGTACATATATGGGGGGTTTGATGGGCAAATGCTGTCGGATATGTTGATTTATACGCCAGGGAGTTGTGAGCATTTAACGTCACAGAGCCAGTGTTTGATAGCTAGAACTGGACTCAAGTGTGTCTGGGACAAGAGGCAGGATCGTTGTGTACAGATAACGAGGAGTTTGCGGCAGAAGTTGTGGCAGAGTGATAATATCCACGATTCTACCTATATGAAATGTGTGGATGATAGTCAACCCAGGGGAATGACTTCCCACAAGGAGCTTTGTAAATTGATAACCGATTGTGCAGCCTGTGTGCAGACGTCTTATGACTGCGTCTGGTGCAACATGAAGGGCTGCGCTCATGAGGTTTGTGGACGTACACCAAGTGCACCTCCACTCACTGGGATTACGAGTTTGGATCAGTGTGAGACTCACACTGGAATTGAGTGTGGTCAATTGCACACTTGTCATGCCTGCTCGAATAATCAGGATTGTGTGTGGTCGTGGCCCAATGGCCCTTGCAAGCAGATAACTAAGATCAGGGATATCAGTTTTGCCAATAGCACTGCTATTCAGGCCCAGAGACTGACCATGGACTCCTGTAGAAGTCCCTGTGTTAATTACAAACACTGCAGCAATTGCACAGAGAATGATTGCATATGGTGTCAGAATGAGGGAAAGTGCGTTGATAAAAATGCATATCCAGTGAGTTTTCCTTATGGTCAGTGCAGGGAATGGACGACCAATGGGGCGAAGTGCAGAGCCACTGAGACTGGCAAGGAGTGGTGCAGTTTTTATTCGTCGTGTGTTAACTGTCGGTCTGACCCTGAGTGCGGATGGTGTGATGATGGCTCAAAAACTGGCAAGGGGGTTTGTATGCCCGGGGGATCGAGAGGACCCAATTCCAGGACGGGGGGCTTTTGTCCAGTTGATCGGTGGTTCTTCACCAATTGTCCTGCCTGCCAGTGTAATGGCCATAGCACGTGCTATGGGAATAGCAGTGACTGCATCAAACCATGCGGGAATTTGACGAGGGGGGCACACTGTGATAAGTGCATTCCTGGGTACTTTGGTAGCCCTTTGAATGGGGCTACGTGCCAGCCATGCTCTTGTAATAATCAGGGGACTGAGTGCACCAGTGAAACTGGCAAGTGCTTCTGCACCACCAAGGGCATTATTGGGGATAACTGCGAACGGTGTGATGTTTCTAGTCTCTACCATGGCGATCCAACTAAGGGGTCATGCTTTTGTAAGCAACATTTTTATTGATTTTTGGAAATATTCAAGTACCTTGAACATTTTTTTATCGGTGATATAATAATGATTTCGAGATCCAAATGATGAAACGGTTAAGTGAATTCACAATGAAATGTAAAAGGTACTTGAATATTCTCAAATTAAGAAAAAGATTGTCCATGCAAGGAATGCCATTTTTACTCTGGGAAGAGGTGAATGTTGATGAAAATATTGAAAAAAAGTCTCTTAAATTTCTTTTGCATTGATAATCGTTTTAGTACGAATGAAAAATCCATCTATTCACATTCTTTTATGGTTCACAGACGATTTGGCAATCGACTACCAGTTCACATTCAACCTAAGCAAAAAAGAGGATCGCCATTACAGAGCAATAAATTTCAAGAATTCCCCATCGAAACCAGACGTCGACGCTGAATTTTCAATAATGTGCTCTGTACTGGCGAAAATGAATATAACAATAAAGAAAGCCAATAGTCCCGAGAAACCACTCCTGCTTGGTGCCAATTGTACGACGTATAAGCATCGTTTTAGTAAGGCTGACTATAATTTTGGAAGTGAGGATAACACAACATTGACAACATTCTACGTATACGTTTATGATTTTCAACCGCCTCTCTGGATACAAATATCATTCTCCCAGTACTCGAAACTCAATCTCCAGCAATTTTTCATCACATTCTCCACGTAAGTACACCGACGTTGAATAAATGGGGAAACGAAGGTGTTATTATTCGTTTATTTTTCCATCAAAGAGTCATATTTATTTTCAATTGCATGCCATACCATCTGCACCCATTTCTATTGATCTAAACCTCAGGCAGTACTAACTTGTAAACTAGAGATTACATCACAACGCACAGGTGCTTCCTTGCTCTTCTGCTGGTGGCTGCCATATTATGGAAAATAAAGCAGAAATATGACATGTATCGGAGACGTCAGAGACTCTTCGTCGAGATGCAACAGATGGCTAACCGTGCCTTCAGCCAAGTCTTGGTGGAGATTGAGAGACGTGATATTCCACCGGATATTGAGAGAAACGATGCAGAGACCAATAACGGCAGGAAGAAGAAAAAGGTCAGTCCAAATTGCAATTATTATCCTCTCACTCGTGTATCGCTCAATTTATTCGCGATAACATTGACTGACAATGATATCAATGAATTCAATACCAAGGGCACAGCGAAATCGCCACAATAAAGTGATAACGATAAAATTATATTACGAACTCGAGATAAACTTTACAAATTTGACATTGTAGATATCCACGTACCTTGATAATCTGTTCTGCCAAATCCCCCATCAAATACAATATTATAATATTATCTCGTAAATGAAGAGAGACAGATGTATTTTTGTGAATATTTTTTTATGCAGAAAGGATTAAAAAATACTAAAATATGTAGATAAACATTTCACTATCTGTCCTCACTGAGAATATATTTATCAATAATTGAGACGAAATGAAATGCACTTGCCAATTGAACAGATAAAGATTTTTTTATCCACTTATTGAATATCAATTCTGTTGATTGCCCTCAGGATGCTCCAAGTCCAATAGCCCTGGAGCCATGCAGTGGCAACAGAGCAGCTGTTTTATCGTTGCTAGTCAGACTACCAACGGGTGGTGAGCCTTACACACCAGCAGGTCAGAGCGCTGGTCTAGCAGTAGCATCTGCACTAGTCACCCTGGGTAGTCCAAGAAGGCCTTCCCAAGAACTGACAACAAAGGAGCCCAAGAAATCACGTAAATCCGCCAGTCAACATCCCGACTCAACCTGCATCTAGCAATGGATGAAGGTAATCACTTTTATCTCCACCATTTGTGCTTTCATATGTATTTCAATATGATTTTATTATTTTTTAATTATCGAGAGCAACTGACGTGACCTACTCATTCGAATCAATGCCCATTTGTTTTTTAATCGCGAATGATGTTTATTATTTCATCATTTTCTCCTTCCTTATTTTCATGCGATGAATGAAAATTATGTAATCTTGGCAATGAACTTCCGAGCTTCTTTTTTAGTGGAAAGATCAACCTATTCCACAAGTCGAATGAAATGATTTTTTTTTCAATGATCATTTTTTAATCTATGACTGAATCGATAATTTTTCAGTGTAAATCACCATATTTTTTATGCTATTCACGTGTAATTCATGGCTATAATCGATTAATTTGTCCTGCCCTTGAATATGTATGATTGCAGATTGTCATTCTGCTGCGTTAACAATTTTTCTTTTATTCTCTTTCCTCAATTTAACGATTTAACGAGTTTTGACGTGGACTGGATAAGGCTGATTATCTAGACTGCTTTGAAAATGGCCCGCCTTAAAAACAAATGGCTACTTACGGTGTAAATGCTCTCTCCCACGTACAATATTGTAAATAAGCCTACGTGTACCGTTTTTGAATGTGCTGATTTAATGCAGCAATTTGTTGAAACTCGATGGTGATAATCAAAAACAGAGAATAGAAGAAAAAATGGTTGGGAGTTGAGAATTGGGAGGAATTGTACAGTTATGAGAGGAAATAACGAATCAGAGTGATTAATTCATTTTATTTCGTGGTATGCTTGGTGGCATGTAAGTGTGAAAGTAACGAATGTATTAACCTTGATTTATTTTCAATGTTTTCGAACGCTAGAGCACGATAAATATTTCAATTCTAAACCAAGGGACTTAAATAATAGGGAGACAGTGAGGGCCTTGCATTTAATAATAAGCTTGTCTTAGTATTTCATTTTCCTTTTGCCCCTCGAACAAATATTAGGATAGAATTTTAATGCAATTGAACGCTTTATTTTCACTCAGCGTTCATTGTACGAAAGTATGTCATTTACCAAAAAAATGAGAATTAAAATTGTTTTTATTGAGTTATGTATTATTTAAATCATTTTCACAAAATTATCGTCGGATTTACTTGTTTATCAGCTCGTCTTGTCAATGACATTAACGAATTTGAATAATGATAATTACTCAATGTAGGATAAGTAAAGATGCATTTTTTTTTTCAAAAGTTTAATACTTGTACTTTTTATAACGCGATGTATTGTGCAGAGTGAGCAGATTGTAAAATAAATTATTCTTAAAATTATTGAATTCATTACAACGCTAGAGCATCATTTTTTATTCCTCATTCATTAAAATTTCCATATTCATGTCTGGCTAAAATTTTCAAATAGAACCAAAATTGTCATTAATTCATAATGGCAACTCGAATTAGTGTAAGAATAGAGCAGTAAATTATTTCAATTAGTCTTCTCTGGCAGTGTATAAAAATATATCTAAATAAAGCATCGAATTTCGTCCAGTGACTGGACACATAGTCGTCAGAATTTGGGACTTTCTTCTTTGATGCAAAGAAGAAACCCCCAATTATGTCAGAGTCCCAATGCGATACCATTAAAATAAATACAATAACAATGATGACAATGTTTTCCACGTCAATTTTATTTTTAGAAAAAAGATACTGTGTTAGCTCTGAAATTATAGAATGGTTTTCCTCGCGAATGCAATTAGTTATTTAATTGAGATAAATTTAACACGCGAGGAAAGAATGTTAAGCCGGTCTGGAGGGTAGTACCAAGAAACACAAGTAGTAAAGTAAGACAAGTTGAATTTTTCCCTTTTCTCAACTATCGAGGAATCTAATAAGACTGTTGATTTCAGAAAGAAATATCAAAAAATGTTTTTTTCGTAAACTCAATCAAAGTCAACAGTTTTCGAGATGAATCGATAATAAATGAAAGGCTAAATTCAATTCATTTCGCCTTCTTACTTCACTGCTGAATTATCAATTAGAAACGACCATCAATCACTTACGTAATTAGCAATGCCAGGTTTTGCAACCCCAATTTTAGTCGTCTCATCAAGATTGACGTACGTCACCATATTATTTGGCGCATTGAATCATTTATGCATATGCACGTACGCAGAACACATCCCTGATCATAAGATATCCAAGAAAAGAATAAAAAAAAATGCAAAAAAAATATATATTGAACATATATTTTCATTCAATTATGTATTCAGCTCGATCTAGTCTATAATGATGAACAAAATGAGTGATTGAAGTACGTATGTGAAAGAATTGGTACAGAAGTGGAAAGAGGGGCGTAGAATTAGATGAGACATGAAGGACGAATTGGCAGGAGGGGAGAAGGAAAAATGACGTATCTGGCCAGTCCCGTTGAAATCGAAGGGTGTCAATGTCATGATTTTGGGAATTAGAGTGGCTAAATACTGCGGAGCCAAATTGATTAAGGGGCGGATGTTCAATGCAGCTCAAACATTAAAAAGACTGGCGAATTGTTCCAATAAACGTTATTAAATTGACAGGAAAAGATGATTGAACTGAATAATTAAAAACTCAGCCATATTTTTGTCCCAGATTGTATAGATACTGAGTGAGTGTAAATTTCATTCGAGTATGATTCCGTGTGACTGATAAATATGTATTATAAATGCAGATATTGTTTAAATAAAAATTGATATATTAAATGTGTTAATGGTCAATTATTTGCATCCAGAGAAATTTAATATGATTGGCGTTGACTTTATCCCTTGATTGATGAAAAAATTTGATGTTGCAAAAAAAAAAATCACCCTCCCCCAAGATCCTGGAGGTGTAATGAAAAAAAATAATTCCACTCACCCCTTTTAACACTTGGTTGCAGATACGCCAAATAATGGCGCCAAACAAATTGTAATCGTCTCCCAGTGAAAAAAATTCTCGAAGCCCTCGTTCGGTGCAATCTCAGCAGATGGCGCTGGCGGGTCAATTTGTCCTAAACGAAGCGGTGGGCGTCCTCAACCGTCACACTCCACCAATCGCAACATAGAATCCCCAGGCGTCAGTTGGCCATTATTATGGTTCACCGTTTTTCGAACTGTTTCGAACAACACACAGCCCCTCGTAAGTGTATCTCCACGGTAACCCACGCGCAGTTCTGTTAATGACCTCGCGCGCTAGAGATGGCCAATAGAAAAATCACAGATTCTTCCGCGACCGTCAATTGTCTCTCAACCCCCCAAACAATCGTAATCACGTGTCGCGTACATTGTTGATGGTGACAGTATCGAAAGTGAGGTTATGAAATCAAGTTAAATGAGAGAAAAACAATAGCTTCGAAATCCGTGTAATTACCTTGACATGTGTGACACATTGACTGGGTGATGATTTGCTGAATTCAAGTGACGTGAAAAGATCGAGACTCGAATGGTGTGTGATGGAATGACAGTGACCGAATCCCCAGCTCATATAATCCCGTCATCATTTTATTTCTACTGGTAAATTATTAATTTCCATTCGGCGAGTATTTTTTGACGGTACGTCAGCGGGCTGCATCCTGCAACTCTGAAGCTTCCCCTAGAAATAGTGCCGTACCCACTCTCTCTTCCTCCTCCTTCCTCCTGCCTAGTCTGTATAAGAGGAATACCATCTCCCTCCAACCGGACAATACTGTCCCGTTCGTCGAATTCACATTGTCCCTCTTTCTCGGACGCGAGCGCGGCAGCACGCTGCTCTCGCGTACAACTACCTGTTGTGACGTACATTCAATACAACGCTTGCCACACAGTGTACCGAGCATTCAGGTGAAAATAATCGTCACAGAGCAGGGAGCGTGTGGTAGGGTGGAGTGGGGAGATTTTTTTTTAATTTTTGAGGGAGCCAGAGAAATGGGCAAAGACAACTGTTGGCACTCTCATTGGCAATAACGTGTGATTTCTGGGTGAATAACGACTGGTATAGTCGAATACCACTAGTAAAATATTTCAAAGCGATAAAAGCGGCGAAAGGCTGAGGCCGGTCTCGATGCCCCACTCCTCATTTTCTCGACCCGCGCCACAGCCACAGCTACAGCTATGGGCCACACTTATCGAGAGAGGAGAAGTTAGTCTAGCGCTGCGCTCGTGCCCCGTACCATCGGGATCAACACTCGCGAGCGTTAATTTGACGCACGTAAACACAGTGAATCATCGATAATTTCATTTGTATTGGAAGATAGGTAGTGAATAGAGACTCAAGGTGCTAGTGAAAATGAACTTATGATTCGAAAATATGCTGACAGTGAATTGAACAAGCGATAAACAATGACGACAACAACAACAAACGAGTTAACAAGTGAGTGAAGGCTGGATGAGTGTGCGCAAGCGTCGAGGCAATGTGAGGTTACCACTTGGCGGGTGATACAAAAATATCAAGAGACGGTGACGATTTAGTTCCATATGAATGGTAGTGAATGAATGTCACGAGTTGAATGCATGACAAATGTCAGACGACAGGAAGTTGATTGTGGTACCGTGTGAGAGGATGCTCGGAAGGGCGGGCATTAATAACGACGAAGAAGACGAAGAAAGTAGAGTTGTCGATGCGATAGTGGTGTGATAATAAAATAGTTGTTTTTAAACTGAGGTGTTTTCACTGCGCTGGCTTACGCTGCAGTGGATTTAGGGGGCTGTATGGAGGCCGGGGGGCTCCTGCCCCATCAGCCCTCGCAAGGCCCCCCCGGCACTGGCACACCAAGTGCCCAAAACGTTTGTCTTGGTGGACAACGACGTGTCACTAATCAATCGCCAGTGCACTCGGGTCTGGATCAATTGAACTCTGGTCTTGGTTTGACCAGTCAGCAACAGTTGCAGCATATACAGCAGCAAATGGGTCAGGCACCGAATATGGGTGAGATTATCACCCCAAAGAAACAAGTGGCGGTTGATAGATTGAGAAGGAGGATGGACGAGTATCGGAGACATCAGACTAATGTTACACCAAGATTTGAGCAGAGCTTCAATGGATTGTGCGAGCAAGAGTCCCAGGGTACACTTCTACTCAAGCAGAGATTTTTCGATAACAAGGCCAAGAGACAAGCCAAGAAAGCTGATAAGAAGCAGAACGAAGCTGTCGGCCTCTCCAGTGTTCACGTGGTGAGTTATTTATCCTCATTTATTTTCTTTTCCATTCTTTTTTAGTTTTTTTTTTTTATTATTATTGTTATTTTCATTAGCTTTTTCTCTTCGTTTCTTTATTCTCTCCCGGTACTTTTCCTTATTACGAGCTCGACGAGTTATCGCGACAGATCTCTTGCGCGGGGTTATTGTGGATAATATTTCTCCGGTTTTATTCGAAATATTATGCTCATTCTGGAGCTCGTACGTGAGAGTATTCGTAAGCCACTTAACTTGAACTCTTGGAGGCGCACGGAGGAGTGTGTTTTTCTCGGAAATCTCGGGACATACGCTCGATCGTGTGTTGATGAAGCACAGAAGGTTCTCCATTCCCGCCCCAGCCTTTGTAAATATACTCTTGTGAAAGAAAGAACAAGTTCAGTAGACCGATCGCTCTTTTTTCGTCTCGGTCTTCTTCTCTCCCTCGCCTCACCCCCGGGTGTACCCCGGTGCCCGCAAAATCTTTCATTTTTCTCTCCAACGGTGTATCATCTGAAACCTGCCTCAAGCTGCATATAACCCCTGTTACCTACCTGCGTGTAAGCTCTTTCAATAGTTTTCGGGGGATTTCATTCGGTTAAGAACATCGGAGAAAAAATCACTGGGATTTTTTTTTTCACCTTCTGGTAGTTTTTCGTTGTCATTCAACATTCTTCTTCCACAATTCCCGGGCACAGTAGATTCAAATCTTCGGGGGTTGGTTAATGTTCACCAGTTGGGGGATTCATTTGAAAGTCAAATGACAGCTTCCTTCTTCAATTTTCCCTTCGTTCTAGATATTTTTAAAAAAATTAACAGAGAACACCAATGAGTTTCACGTTCATTCATAATCGATGGAAAGTATCGTGAGAATTGTTGATTTTCCACGTTAGAAACTCACGGGTTTTGTGCCATGGTGATCCAGATTCCAATGCGGTCGCTTCTACCATCACGATTGACACTTTCTTTACGTTTTACCTACAATTTGCCATATATATATCGCGTTGTTTGAATATTGAGGAAGAAAAAAATATAATAAAAAATCACGGGATTTCATCAGAGTTTTATTGGAAAAAAAAATTCCAAGCGATATTTAATTTTCATAATGAATCCCTAATTATTTGATGAACATTCGTGCTTATTTAATATGAAAGATCGCAGTCTAAAACATACTGGATTCCACAGTGCAAAATTCTCCCTACGAAAGACACTTACACATTCACTAACATTATGATTACAAAAATTCCTTGGTAGTTTCGCATTACAATCCATTAGTCAGCCACCCACTGGCAATTTACGACTGAAAATCGCCGGGATTTTTCCCCTCTCTTCTCAGTATATGAATGCCAGTATCTGATTTGTCTGAAGTCCCGATAACTTCTCTTTACGATCGGCAATAGCCCTCCGAAAAACCATAACTCGATTACATATTATTAGTACCCCACGACTGCGCTCGTCAGAAATACTCATAACCCCCCTGCCCATCCACAATAAACCATTGAAATGGTGTCGAACTCACTCTCCGAGCATCAATAATTTGATGGGCAACTCGTTTAGCGCGGGTGGCATGTCCGGAGACTCTTCATGGCCTTCTGGGTGGTCAAACCAGAGTGAATTCCATGCCGTCGTATAATGGCCTTCCCCAGAGGCATTCCGCGAGTCTGTAAAAGATCCATACAAAATCCTCTCAGGATAACCAATTCCTCTCACACTCAACACCTTTCACCCACTTCGAAATTAATCAACAGCACCTCAATTGCTCCATTACAAGAAAAAAAACCAAAAGCTTTCTTGAAATTTCTCGATCTTCTCCCTTCACATTTCATCATTACACCCGAAAATCAAATCAGAAATCGCGAACATTTCTCAAATCATTCCACGAATGATCTCAAAATTTCCAGAAGTTTCAATTCTCTCAAATTTTTGGCAAATGCTTCAACATTTGGTAAAGATTTTTTTCTGCCCACATTCTCTTATTCAACCAAAAAATTCGAACATTTCCATTCCCCGAGGAAGTTCTAGAAACTTGGAGAAATTTCCAGGAACTCCAAGCAACTTTCAGAAGCTAGGGATGAAAAGTGAGCACTAGGTTGATCTCTCTATGAATTATCACCCGAGTTTACGATCCAGTTCCCAACACTCATTAATTGATACCCAAAATATAGAGAAAAAGTCACTAGGGAGTGACGCAGCAAGAGCCTCACCTACAACCAGGGTAGAATCTTGAACCGTTAAATTCAGTACAATCTAGCTCGTCCTCGCTGTTTTCCCCCTTTCTCCTGGTTTAGTCTAGGCCTCGAGTTAGTGAGAGTGGTCCCAGCGTGAAGGAGATGGGTGTTGAATTCCGTCCGGATGACGCATTCCGTGAAACCTCCAGTCTCTAAACGCATCTTTTGTGTCACGAAACAGAGGCCATTGTCGAGAGAAAACAAATGGAGAGAAACAAAACGGGAAATCATTTCATTTCATTGAAAGAAGAATGTTCCTTTCCCCAAAATCTGATAAGAGAAATGTGAAAGGATTATTCTGTTCCAAAAATTCATTAACTTGAGAGACCACGTACATATTCCTTCAAAAATCTTCATTCACGAGTCATTTCCCGGTGATTTCCTCCAGGTGTTACCAATAATAATCGGATTGCTCCATAGTATTACCACCATAATAACTTACCAAAAAAAAACTCTCTGAAAAATTATCAATATTAAACAATTCCGTCAGTCTTCGCTCTCGAGTAAATTCGGTATTAATTAATTAATCATAAAGATAAAATGAGTAATCAGTGGATTTTATCGAAGGACATTCCCCCCCGTGGTTGTTCGCAAAACAATATGATGATGGTTATGGGGATGTGAGGGGGATAGCTGGGCTCAATTGGAGAAGTGCGTTTTGGAAATAAAATAGATATTTTTTTTGTCCATGAGCGTTTGCTCTGTACTCGGTGGAATTGTGGACGGTCGGGGAAGCCACTACCACACGTTGCGCATTCATTTATAAGTCGCGTGGATCCGCAGCGTGCGCACGCGGCACTCGTCAGGCCATCATACGATTGTTGAACGACTGGTGTGCGTGGAGAGCATGTTACCACTGTACACACGGCACTCAGGATATCCATGAGACTCTGGTGTGCGCTGTTGCCACCTCCTCTCTCTCTCAATCTCCTTTTTCCATATAACTCGTACGCTGACTCTCAGCTGGCTGCACTATACCAAGAGGTTCTCAAACATTAGTATTCCATCTTTTGAAATTCAAAATAATCCACTGTTTGTTGCGGAGGGAAACACCCATTATAACTTTATTCCGCTTTATCTCACAGTATGACCCTCTATTCTCCTTCATCTACCTTCATTTCGAGTCAACTTCATCAGGGAATTCCCGGGGAATTGAGATGTAATCCACTGAAATATTTGTCATTTTATTTTTAATCTGTTGAGATAAGCTTTTCCCCGAATTTGTCCTGGTTTATTTTTTTTTATCATCCAAAAGACGTGGAGTTGAGAATTACAATGCGGGGCTCCCTGTGCTGGCGCAAGGAGGTCACGGGACGATGACAAGCGAGAGTGAAATCGGGAAACGAACTTTATACTGATTTGTCACTATTTATTCCCCAAATAAATAGTGGAGTATTTGTCGTTTGGATATCGGCCACTGCTGGCAATTGCTCCAATTTTTCCGTAATTAATTCGCGATGAGATAGGGAGCAGGGGGGGCAGGAGGGAGATTGATGTATATTCATCCGGTGAATTGTGATGAAAATATTTGGCCAAGTGGCTATTTCGAGGTTGAACGCGTCAACGGAGAATAATTAGCGTTTCAATCTGGCGCTAAAGCCTACTCGGAGATTGAATACGAAATACCGATTAAGTATCGAAATATTTTCCACCGATGATGAGACTAATGATCCACGGAGATATACCAGGGACAATGTAATGAACTCGCTGGATTTAGAGATAATATCGCACTTGCGATTGGTTTGAGTTGGGGCAAATGACGCGGTGGAGTCATACGGTGTTATTGACGCATGTGTGCACTACGAAGTTAACGCGTTGGTGCTGCAGGATATAATGTACATGAGTCGATCGTATTGAGAGAGAGTGACGGGGTGAGGTGGTGAGAGAGGGTGAGGTAGTTTGTGTGGATTTTGTGATGTTGGGAACCACTGGAAACAGGAGGCAGCTGAACGGACAAAGAGCGAACGGTTATATTGCAGGACGACAGCGCAGACTCGGAGCTGCTGCGGTGCGCCACCTTCTCTCTTCGTACTTGTACAGAGTTTATGTATATGTGCTATATACTGCTGTACCCCCTCCCTTTTGGAAATGCCCCCCCTTTCCCCTCTTTCATTGGTCATCCCCCCCTCACCACTCAAACTTATACCTGCGCCGTGCATCGGCAACTTCGTGATGCTTCTTGTACTTGCTCGCACTTTACTCACATCCCCCGTACTCACGCACTCCACACTGCTTCCTGTCACCCGATCGTCCATCGACAATCAACAACCGTTGGAGCCTACGACAGTCCCTCCTTGTCAATAAAACACCTTGCTTCGATTTTTCTTTTTTTCTTTATCGACATTACCGTGGACTTCGTGACAACGGAGCACCATTATGCTGTCGTAGGGAAAATGTTTGTTGGTGGTGAGAAGGATTTTTTTTTTAGATTTTTCACGGTTTAAGAGATTTTTCAATGTTTGAAAAAGCTCAGTAAGGGCGCTTGGATTTGGAACGGGTTTTAAGGATAATCGGTAATAGTGAATGGGTGAAAAATGCGCAGGGAATTTTTCAATTTGAGTTTTTCGCGATCCCTGAGAAATTTTGATAGGACTTTTTCCCTACAGTATGATCTATACGAAACTGTAAAATGTACTTGAATATCCTTAAGGTGCGGTAGCGCCTGTGACTCACACTTGGCGATGCGATACCACACCTGATTTCTCCATGAATGCACCGAGAATAGAGGACAGAATTATCGAACATGATGCTGTTCTAAGAATAGTTGAATCTAATCGCAAGAATGTACGCAAATTGAAGGAATGAAGGCACTTAGATGCCAGAGCGTTATCTCCCCATGGATAGACTTGTTTTCAAGCGCACGATAATCTGACTTCTTGAAAATACTCGACAAGTATCGAGGATCATATCTCCCTGAGAATACACGAGCAATCATCTATTGATACTAAAAATAAAGTGTATATTATCAAATTGTTGAAGAAATAATGGTGGGAGGGAAGTGGTAACGCTCGAGGGATCTCTCTACACCCTAAAGAATTGCCATTTCATGGACAATTGAAACATCGAGGGAAATTGTAATTGTCGGGGGTGGAGGAGTGTTTCATAAAAACTCAGTTAATGTAGTTTTGCTACGCGATATACTGCACTGCAGGGCCCTCGCGTACTTTCACCTCTGTCTCAGCGGATTCTGCAACGACTCCATTAGATTCCAGACTCTAAAAATAATCTATAATATCTAAATGAGAGAGGGAGCGTAGTCAGAAGTCACTGAAAATACCTGCGCAATCCCAATTGTTTGTGGGTTAATTGAATGGCTGGAGATATGCTCAAAGGAAAAATATCGAAATACGTTTGTCAATATTTTCGTGAACAATAGTATTACTGTTTCAAAAGAAAACGCGAAGTGACGGACACGGGATGAAGGGAACGAGAGATGACAATTTCCTCAAATTCTCGAAGCTGAAATTTTCAATGAGAATATTATCATTAAATGCCCTGGAATAGAATTGCTGTTAAAAGTTTCCAATATAGCAAAAATTCTTGAACGAAGAATGTCTTCTCGAAGGCGGTTGAAAAGTCAGGATAAAAAAAAACTCTCAACACCTATATGACCCGTAACCCCACCCCACGAGGGTGAGTTTATGGTCAACTGTGAAAAGAGACAGTGAAAATCCTGAGGGAGCCCCTCGCAACCGTGGGCTTGTGGTCGTGCTAAAAATTGCGCTGACGTCAGGTCTACATTCAAGGTGTTTTTTTTTTTTTCACATTCATACGAAGAATGGCTTCAAACGCGCAGATAACGAGAAACCGAGTAGCGAATAATCGACGAACGCGAGTAATCAGTGGCGACAAAAAAAAAGAAGAAAGAAAGGTTTCCCCTTCTGATGTTGGGACGAGAGACAAGCGACAAAACGATAATCTCGCATGCATGTTCACCGAAAAGTTTATCGCCGTCAAGATTGCAGGCGTGTATGGTACACGGGTTATATGGCACAACATTACAACATTTAATTAGCAAAAGCGGAGCGAGAAGACAACTGGTGGACAAGGTCGTTGGTTTTGCTTTGCACCGGACGCGCGTCTCCACCACTGCTTATAAACGACAGCTGACAAACTGATGTACGTGAGCCAGACAGTATAACCCACGGCTACTAATCGCTCCGCAAACATCGCGTTTTACGCACAAACGGTTCTCAATTTAACAAATCAGGGGAATCACCTCAATCTCCCATCACGCCCTCATTAATCCCCATTAACGATACACCCTTACTCGATTAATGGGGCGTTGGTTTAAAGGGGTGAATTATACATTTTATTTTCGGCTATGGTAGTTAGTGCTTGTGCAGCGGCAAGATTAGATGGGCGAAAAATTTTCTACTCCACGAAGTGTATAAAAGTTAAATTAGCCTTTACGCGGAGTGCACTCATAGGCCAGTAAGGACTATTAACTGAATTACGCTTAGATCGAGTGCATCCTCATCAGGAAATTTAAACAATTCATGCATTGTAGAGGTTGACAGGGAGTGGAAAGAATAATGGAAATTTTGTGGAGAGGAATTTTTTGGGTTTGGGTAAACACCTGGCGAGATGTAAACACAAATAGTCAGTCCCAGATTTTTCGGAATTGTTATCAATTACAGTCTCACTTCAACTCAGTAGAAATTTTCAATGCTTCAACTGCTCTCGTGGATTTTTTTTTCTCAAACCAGGGGATTTCTTCGGAAGAAATTTTGATAATCAATCTCTAAGTACTTTGACACGTTTCAATATCACGTCGTAAAATTGTTTAGACTGAGTTGGTTTCGTATTATTTGTTTACCCCTTCTCAACCGGATGGCGGGCGATCGAGAATAATATAAACAAATGGGAGAATAAAGAGGATATTAGGCGTAAGTGGTCCAGATGTCAGACACTTTCATTTTTCACAAGTATAAAAAAATTATAAACAAATAATTTAATCACTCCACGTGAAAGATCGTTCCATAAAAGTATGTTTTTACGTTAAAACAAACGTTAAACTTTCCAATTTACGCCGAAGTACAAAATTCAGGAATCATCCCGTCATAAATACAATCAGATTCACATGAATCGAATTTAAATTTATTCTATCGCCGGGGGCATCTGAATACATACATTCAAAAATCCCTCACTCAACCGTGAGAGAATTTTCTAAAAAAAAATACATTTTTAACCGACCAAACGCGACGTAATTGAGAATGAGGGTCTTGTTCGTGCTCGGCAATCTTAAAGAAACAATTAAAATCGACTTGACACCAGGAATTTTTCCCACACACTACCACCTAAAGTCGAATAAAAAATTCATAAAAAACTTCAAAGTACCGTTAAATTACCTAAAAATCGATGCAAACCGCCAAGTGCCTGAAACCCCCAAAGGAACAGAGCCCTCAATCAGGGAGCGACCCAAAAACGATGAGTGATCCTCTCCAACCCCGTCCGTTGCGTCCGTTGCCGGTTTTCCCGCGGTACATCAGAAGGAGTCCCTCATTTCTCATGCCTGTACAACGAGACAATCGGCTAGAAAAGAGAAAAACCGAAAGGGAAAATGCCAAAAGCAAGGGGCTCCCAAGACGCGACAGAGATGGTGTGATTAAGGGGATGAGGAGGGATGAGGGGGTACCTTACACACTCCCCATACCCAGTGCAATGAAATACGAAACAGCTGTGCGTGACTCTCTCCCCGTTTCCCCTGACGTACCGTCAAGGCGTCT